TTTTATCTTTATTGAATGTATTTGTTGTAAACATTATGTATTTTCATAAACATTTAATGAGGACTAACTGTTAGAAATGCAAAACTATTTCTCCCCTTCATTCTTCCTGTGCAGTGACTCCAACACAGCATATGCTCATGCAAATGTTTGCATAACAAATTAATCGGAAAGGATTTAGGCGGGGAAAGATGTTGAATGCAAGCCTGATGAAGAGGCCTGTGAAACTCAGCAGTTTGCATTCTCTTGAACCGACACTTGGACTGACAGAATAGCTGGTCCAGCTAAAGCAGCGATGTGGAACCTGTAGCCCTCAATTGCATTTTTCTCTACTGGTCAGAAAACAGACCATTTTAAAATAAGGAACGCAATATTTTTGCTTATGTATAATTCTAATAGACAGTTGACCACATAATCCACAACAGGTATAAACAACAGAATAATGCACATAATAGGAAACAGCCTTATACTGTTAGACCGTTGTTCCATCTGCCTAGAACAGGGATGGATGGACATGTTCAGGCCTTGGTCCAGAAGACGTATCCTGGGCAAGAAGCATGTTTATCTGACCCCACTAATCCTACCAGATCTCAGCTATGTTGTGCTAAAACATTTTGCCCAGTTTCAGTTGTAAAGATAAAGATATCTCAGTGGATATTTTATACAGATGTTATTGGATTGCTTACTCGTGCATGTGGCAGAAAGCTAGAAGATTACTGCCAGTCTGTGTTAGGCATGGAGTAGCATCAAAGGCAAGAATAACAAGCAGTTCGTATGGTCCTTTTTATTCAGTCATCTGGTTGCACGACAAGAATCCATGTCTCCACACAAAGAGAGACGTTGGCTATTCTGAGCCCTGCCTCTTCGTCCCCAACAACATCCTGAGTGCCAGCAGGAAGTCCCAGGTGTCCCACTCCTCTGCCTCCTCTGTTTTGGATGTGGAGGGACCGATGGGCCCGTAGAGATGGAGGATCCCCCATACTCTCCAGGGAGGTCTCTGCTGGTTGCACTCTCCCCTCCCCCTCCACTATCTTGTAACTAGGCAATTCCTCCTCGAAAGATATAGCATCTCTCTCACACTTTCTCCTCCTAAAACTGCTGTAGACAAGGGGAGTGAAACTTTCCCCCCCCCCTCCTCTTCGGATAGAAGCTGATCAGACTGAGTGCACACTTCCCAGTCTTCCTGTTCCGACCATTCGCTGACAGTCTGCCTATTTTAAGAAAGTACATTTGTTCTTCTGTCTTCCCGATCAATTGATTTGTACTACCAAGGCTTCATCTTCATTGCTAGGTGATGGCCAACTTTATTACGGAACCACACCACACATGAGCAAGCTGAATAATCCCAGCACTTAGGACAGAAGATGTAGTAAGCCCCTGAGGACACAGAAATTGGCTGTCTCTATACTGCAGCAATTAATCTAGACCATTTCCCGATCTTCATATTAAATAAGAGGCTACCATGCTGGCACTGCTGTCTGAAAAACCTGCCTACTAAGAACTATTGTGCAATCACAATTTCTTTGCCAAAAAAGCTGAAGGAAATCTTGGTTGCCATTTGTTGTGGTTTCTTTCCCTTCATTTTCTATTTCTCCATAAACATAATCTGGAATAGTACTTTGGGACCGATCTGGTTTGTAACGAGAAATCTTTCTTTCACACTTTTAAGGGAGAATGTTGCCATTTTACAACTAAGCCATCAAAATATAACAGATTGGGGGACACTTTCATTTTAGTTAATGAGCATTTTAACAGGGTCCATTTTTAAGCATCATTATGCTCTGAGTTGTATGAATGCAAAGAATGGAGAGGAGGGAAATGGCTCTGGGTTTCTCAGAACTGGAGATCAGCAACAAATTAAGCCATCCCAACACATCCCAAGAGAACTGATTTGTAGCACAGCCCTATATTTCTCTGTTATTATGAAATATAATGTGATGAACTCTGCTCTTATTTTTAAAAATTGTGTAGCAGGGAAATGAGCTTTCCCCTCTACACAACATTTTTCTGTCTTAGATGTAAGTCTTTGCACTTCCAAAATAAATACTACTGTCACACATTAATTTATAATCTTCAGTTAAATATTTAGTCAGGAGAGGGCGCTCATTGTTATGTTAAAATGTGAGCTGTAATTATAACAAAGGGGTGGAATTGGCCGCATTCATGTGTTTCTGTTTGTTGTTTTTTAAGCAAGAGGGAGAGGATGGTTTGTTTTATTTCTCAGAACAAAACCTATAGAAACTGGGGTCATATAATGTCTCCTGTAATACTAATAATCACTACAATAAAGCTTTTCTAGGATAATTCCTATTGCAAGCACAGTGAAGCCAGGGTGTCTTCTTCTTCTTAAAAAATTCAATTTGTATGTTAATGGTTTTTTTCTCAGGACTGCAAAGATATATATATTTTCCTGTGTCAATCGTGTCCTCTAAAGTAAACTTACTGTGTTATGCTAATGATATGGTGCTGCTGTCCTTGGCTGAGACAGGATTGAGATAGCTTTTGGAAATACCAGCAAAATATTGTTGCGCAACACCCCAGTCTCTGAGCAGTAGAAGATTCCAGGGGTTCCAGATGCTGACCCAGGGTTCCTTTTCCTCAGAATGAGGACAGTGGAGACTGTTAACTCGGGTTACATACGCTTCAGTTACAGACTCCACTAACCCAGAAATAGTACCTTGGGTTAAGAACTTTGCTTCAGGATGAAAACAGAAATTGCAGTGGGAGGCCCCATTAGCTAAAGTGGTGCTTCAGGTTAAGAACAGTTTCAGGTTAAGAACAGACTTCCGGAACAAATTAAGTACGTAACCAGAGGTACCACTGTTATATTTTTCTTCAGGCCATTTCTGGGGTTTGACATATTTTCATACCCAAAACAAATTACGTACATATTACCTCGGTCGAGGAAAGTTAGGCGCATGGAAGCTTTAAGCCCTAGGAGAGACCACAATCTTCTGTGCCTTTGGACCACCACAGTTCAAAAAAGATGCTAAAAGTACCTCATGAGTTAACATTTCCATACCTCTTTTAAAATCTTTGAAAGATTTAGGAAGATTTAGGTTTAGGAAGGCAGGAGTGCCTGGCCTGGCGTGCTCTGGTCCATGGGGTCACGAAGAGTTGGACACGACTAAACAACAACAACAACAACAACAAGGTACCCTGGAAGCATAGCACATGCAAATTTTAAAATTAACAAATTCCATATTGACCTAAAGGAGATTGCCCCATTTCAGAGATATCTGTGAGGTGACATCTGCCCCTGTACTATGGAATGCCCTTCAATACGTGAAGCAGCAACCATCAGTTGCTTCAGATGTCTTGTAGAGACATATCAGGATCCAGAAGACTGAACCCTGTTTTTATTTATTTGAATTCTCTGGATTCCTGCTTTTATATGCTTTTATACTAGTTTTACTGGTTTTGCATTTTATGTTTGTTTTAATGACATTGTTTATTGTATTCATGTTGGACACCACTTAGAGATTTATAAAATATTAAACGGTATATAAGTGCTTTAAAATAAACCTATTTATTTGAGAAGTAGTCAAGGAATATAGGATAGCTCATTCTTACTTCCTAGAAATACTATGCAGAAACATTACTGGTTTAAAAATACTGGTTTAAAAAGCTAGATTCCCCCCCCCCTTCAGTTTCGATCAAAGGTGATTTGCGGAAAACACAGTATTTCATAAGAATAGAATAGTTATAGAATAGGATGGGGATTATGAGTAACATTGTGTGTACACTGCTTCCCTAACCAGTGGGAATGCACCAAAGTATAAATGTGTGAACACAGCTGAAATCAAGGTGTTTAGTCTTGCTGTCAATGCAAATACAGTGTTTAATATTATTATTATTATTATTATTATTATTATTATTATTATTATTATTATTATTATACTCCACCCCTCTGACTGGGTTTCCCCAGCCACTCTGGGTGCTTTCCATACATATAAAAACATAATAAAACATCAAACATTAAAAACTTCCCAGTACAGGGCTGCCTTCAGATGTCTTCTGAAAGTGTACTTTTTGCTCCAAAAAACCTGTTCTGTGTTTTCTATTCCGAGCTGTGTAAAATAATGCAGTACAAGGAGAAAACGCTGGCTCTGTTGCTATAAAGTTGTTGGAACCTGAGAGATTGAAAACAGGTTTGACTGGTTATTGCATTCAAAGACATAATCCAATACTAAAGTTTTCCAATAAGAAGTGGGTGGAAATGCTTTTAATGAATGCAAGTGGGTTGGGTGCACACCAAGTACACATAAAAGGCCAAAGTATGTTATTACACAAGGGGACAGGAGAAATGAGTGTGTCATTGAGAGTAGTGAAGAACTACATGTTCCAACTATTCTCTGAGCTTTTATATTAAAAATGTTCTCAGACAAAGGGCTGTTTCCCATAACATTATCAGCAATTGTAATGTAATTGTAAACAGTAGGCTGGAAGATTCTGGATTTTTAATATGAAAGACTGTAAACATACGAGGTGGTATTCAACTAAGCTTTACTCAGAGTAGACCCACTGACATGAATAGACCTAACTTAGTCATGTTCCATAATTCAAATGAGAGTTGAATACCAGCCAAGCGGTAATAGCATTTAGGTCATCCAGGGATAATTTCTTGAAATTAAAAGTGGAAGCACTAGTTTGTACAAGGGGAGAGTTCAGATGCCTTTGGGTATGCTCCGAAAGGCCTTCACTCGGCAAGGCTATGAATGGTGTTCCTACTATATGATCAGCTTAGAAATATTAATCCCCTGTGATAGCTATTAAATATAAATTTTCTAGATTTTGGTAGAGAAAGCACTTCCACAAAACATTTGTTAGTACAGATCTAGATACGCATTGTTAGGTCAATTCAATATTATTTTGGAGTCATAAAGTAGTTGCTTTAGCTACAGTTCATATTTCTTTATGACCCATTCAACGACTACATTACTATCAAATGAGCTTGAGGCTGGATGGATGGTACAACTTGGTGATAAAGGACAACAACAACAAAAAAGTAAACATTTTAGTTTATTCCGGAGTATCTTCCATGTGACCAATGCAAATGTTGTTAGCAAGTGACATACACGCAGGTAAGAAAAACAAAAATGGGCACATGATGCAAACTACCCTTATTTCATCAAAATAAACAGGCACAGGCAGGTCACATATGTTTTAACTTATATTTCGCAGGACATGGAAATCACACAGAAATCAGAGACAGGTATCAAGTTAATTAAGGATAATTAAGCAAGATGATTAAGAGTTGCACAATTACGTGGATTCTGATTAAAATAGCTCTACTATTTCATTTAGACTTAAGAAATTTACACAGGCAGTGGAAAATCAAAGACAGGGCCCACATTCAACTAACTAATCTAACCAGTGGTAACCCATGCAAGGACTTCCGCAAGCACAACGGGGCTCCCCACCCCCACCCCAATTTGCATTGCCCCTCCGAAACAGCGCGGGGTAGGGGGAGGAAAGAGTAGATCATTCCTTCAGACAAGCTATGTGGAATTCCTCCCTGGATTTTTTCTCCCTCTCTTGCTCCTTTAACAAAATTCCAGGTAGGCCATGCAATGGGTTGCCTCCAATGCTGCACGTGGAGTTTTACTCCTACAACAGGATTTCCCTTTCGTGAATCCTTAAAATTTGCTCTGCAGGGTCCGCCAACTCCATGGAGCAAATTTTGAGGGTGCACAGGGGGCTGCAAGGGACAGCAGAGGGGAAAGTTCCATTGTGTGAGTGGAAATCTGTTGCCGATCAGCAGCATTTAGTACAGCCCAATATATTTTATCACCTAGTCATCATAGGACAGGAGCTTTGATCCAGAGATGCCACTTTGCAAGCAGAAGACACTTTCACACAGTTTTTGGGGGGTTGGGGTGGAGAAGAGAACTGGTCTGAATTGTTCTGTTAACATTTTGAATCAAGTTTGAAGGGCTGCTGATTGTGGGGCTGGAACTGGCCATGCTACCTAGTGGAATCTTTGGAGCCATGGAAATACCGTAATTTTTCCGTGTATAACATGACCCCTATTTTGGGGGACTCCAAATTGAGGAAATGGGGGGAGATTGCCCAGAGTTGTTGACCCGCCTGACAATTGCACACATCAACAAAGCCAACAATCGTCTGTCCGCCAGTTGCACGCCCAACTGCCGCAGCAGCCAATTGCCAGCAGACCTTGCAGCAGTCACCAATTGTCCATCCAACATCTGAATTATCTGTGTATTAGACGACCCCCATATTTAAGCATTTTTAAAAAATAAAAACAACTCGTCTTACACATGGGAAAATACAGTGTTTTAAATTGAAAAAATATACATATGCCTTAAGTCTCATTTCCATACCAAAAGCTTACTATGACTTTTTGGGGGGGAGAAAATATACAAATTATACCTATGAAACTGATGGAAAGCGGGTCCTTGCATTAGAAAATTCTAAATGAAGGCAAAAAAAAAAGGAAGGAATTTGCATAGACACAACCTCTGCTAATGTTTTTAGCAAAAGAAGTCCAAACAACTCATAGAAAACCCAGACAAGCCTTAAGCATTAGTGTCCTTGTATCATACTGATAACATAGATAAAATCAGTGGTCTTATTCTTAAGAAATGTTGTGATAATATCAGATAGTTAATTGATGAACATTATGATATAAAAGAGACCTCTGAATTTTTAGCACTTAAAAACAGTTACGTAAAAGGCAGAGTTAAAAAGTGCATTGCTGAAGCAACCTATTTTGGCTTTCTGGGAAAGAGTAGGATGGAATTTGAAAGTTGTTCTCAGATACTGTCTTGATGTGAAGGTTCAGATGCATTTTTTGGTTCTCTTTCCCAAAACAGTCTGTTCCATTATAGCTTCTCAATATGTTGATTACTCCATCATGTAGAAACGGTACATAAGGGCCACAATAATTGCTGCTATAGCTGGAATCACCCAGTTGGACCATGTGCTAGAAGAAACAAAAAGTTACTTTGATACATTCTGATATATCAGAATGCAGACAAACCAAAAACTTAAGACTAGAATGGCAATGCTTTAAAGAATACATGGTCAAATATTGTTCCATAAAGAATATGTTGTTATGTTTAGATTAAAGGAGTAAAGTAGAAAGAACAACATTATCTAGGAATGTTATAAAGAGATAAAAATCCAAAACCTAAAGAGTGCAATGATTATATCGAACTTAAACAATAAGGAAGTTGTGGGGTGTGGTGGCGGGAAGAGCTTTTATGTTTCCAAGGGCTAAATCAGAATGCGAGCCAATTGGGGGAGGGAAGGATTTATGTTTGTGTAAATAATAGTGTATTTTTGTGTGTTTTCGTTTGGGTAGGATGTACGGTGTTGTTTTTTTTGCTCTTTCTTTTTGTATTAAAAAACTCAATAAATATAAATAAAACAGAATAAAGTTACTTTGATACAAATATCCATTAGCTTTTATATGATGGACTTGAGAAAAACTGAACTTTTGGCTAAGGCTTTATCCTAGGTCTGACAGCAGCAGATCATAAACACTTTGAAGTGAAATACAATGGATAATATAGTTAAGTCAACTTAAGTAAAGGTTGCATATGATTTTTGGCAAACTATAATGAAGTCACATTGAGCTAAGAAAGAGATGAGGAATTTGTGGCCCTCCAGTTGTTGCTGGATTCCTAACTCCCATCAGCACCAGCCAATATGGTCAACTTAGCAAGGATGATGGCAGCTGGAGGCCACAGGTTTCCTCATACTCATGACCTGGACAAAGGAATATTTTTCTGAACTACTGGTGGAAATGCAAGCAAATATATAGTTGGATTGAAGACTTTAGGACAAAAGCTTGAGACCAAAATGAACTTTTTATCCAGAAGGTCGACTGAATTAGTCAGCTACACAAGTTTTTAAAAAAACATTTGTTAGGAAATGTAATCCTGAAGTAAGAGTGAAAAAAGCAAATATAATGAAAACACTTTCAAAATATGTGGCCTTCCAAATGCAACCTAAGATTCCCAAGACCCAAGCACTGGAAAGTTTCTAAGAGTCTGTTAGAGACAGTGGGCTTGAAGCAGTGAGGCAGGCACCAGAAGGCAAGCTATACATTTTATATAAACAAATAAATATGTGCCAGATGCAGAGTTAGGGTGCTCTTTCAAGAAACACAATGTGGCCTAGTCCTGTTAAATAAACAATTACACACATGCAAGCATTAGACTTCAAATATGACCCCATTTCCAATTGTCTTCAGATTTTTAATGTATATATTACTGTTTTCTAATGGTTTTTCTATGTTTTTAGCTATTCTTGTTTTTATCTGTAAGCCAAAAAAGCAGGGTAATAAAAATGATAAAAATAATAATAGCATCATGAAAATGTAACAAAATTACTTAGTAAAGGTGAAAGCTAACACGGAGCAAGCAAACCTCCGCTTGCATAACATGGCCTCTCTTTCCTTACCCCCTTGCTCCTCAAAAGATTGTCAGGAGGGGTGGGTGACACCGCCTCCAAGCAGATTTTGCGGGTGCATGGGAAACGGGGGGGGGGGGGGGGAGAGAAACCAGAATTCCACTGAGTGAATTTATTTTTCACAAGCAGTGAACGTCACCGGATGTCAACCTATCTGAATACCCAGTGCTTTTTTTCCCCCAGGGGGAACTCAAGGGTACACAGTACCGGCACCTCTTTTTGTTTTGTTTTGTTTTGTTTTGGTAAAAAGTGTGACACCTACTGTAACAATTTCATGGTGAGTACCAGCACACATTTTCCTAGAAAAAAAGCACTGTGAATACCATTTTTAAAACGAAAAACACTATTGGCTTGTTAAATGAAGGCCATACAATACCTGGAATTAGAATCAAGGGTGGTAATGTAAGGTTCCTGAAAAACAAAGCAATACATTAGTTAGACTTAAGTGGTCTCTCCTGCCCATCCTTCTTGTCACAAAGCTAACTCATGCCAATTTCCTCTGATCAGATTTCCTCTGATATGGTGTAACCTTTCACATCTAACCTTTCATCATGATCATTAGCCCTCTGTGCTCACTTGCTGCTACAGCAGTATATGCTACATTCCCTGAATTTTGGAAATGACTTCTTGTTGCCATGCAAAAAACCCACAATGTTCTGGTTTAAAAGTCAACACCTAAAATACAGCAGCTAGACAATAAATGGCTGGACTCATTGCAACATCTTACAACCCACAAGGACACTTTTCAGCCTTGGGACTATATCAGTGTGTCCCTCACTTAAATCTTGCCCCACAATTTATCCACAGTTAATGTCATACGATTAACCTTCTAGATCCTTTCTGTTATTCTTGCAGCATTTGAGGAAGATAAGCTAATTGCAATCTCCATGTTCAGAGACAGAAATGCCTATGGAAAACACATGCTGCGCAAATGGGAGGGAATTAATCGTCACCATCATCCCCAGTTTCTTAGAGTCTCTTGAGTATTTGACTGCCCACTACTCAGGGGGGAAATGATGGACTTGGTGGCTCTTCAAGCCTGATCCAGGAGGGCAGTTCTTGCATCCTCTTAACAGTTTCTGCAATGCAGAAAAATTTGGAGAGAGACTTTCCACTCAGCTCACATTTGAACTGCTTATCTGTCAAGGCCTGACAAAGTACTCTGATAGCAGAACAGAACTGCTAAAAAATCTTCAGATGTAAACCATATCAGCATTCTCTGGATCATCACCTTTCATGGACCATAGGAAGCTCCCTTATTATATACAGTCAAAATCATGGTCTACCTAACTCAATTTTAACCAAACTGACTAGAAGGGTTTCTCCACGATTTCAGATTCCAGTCCTCATGATTCTGAATAAAGGGGCTGACATAACGGTGAGATAGGAGACTGCCGTGTACCACGTCAGACTAGCTCAGGGTTTCAAGGCAGGGGACATTCCCTGGAGAGCCACTGCCATTCAATGTGGACAATACTGGGTTAGATGGCATCTACTTTTTTTTCCAGTGTGCACAACACAGCACTTGAGTCTCATGGGTCAGACCTCTACTTTTGAAGAATGTCAACTGTTATTCAGTATTGGTAAGAATTAGAATACTTTGCAATATTGAACAGTATTATTTTCATATCTGAAAAAGCTTTCAAGTAAGAATTCCTGACTCAAACTCCTTTTTCAGTACTAAAAGCTGCACTAGATGTGCCTTTCTGTGCACAGAAGGGGTTGTATTAAAAGCATTGCTAAGGAAAGGGTGTTCCATCATCACAACTGTTTATCCTTGTGCAGCAAAAAAGTTCTTCCCCTCTTCTTCCCCCACATGCCCCCTAAATCTGCCCTGAGGGTTTCCCCAACCCTTTGAAGTAGAATTGGGGGTGGCAGGGGCATGGAGGAGGGAAAGCCCGGAATTATTTAGTTGAGCCACCCAAGGTGCCTTCTTGCTCAAGGAAGGATTGCTGTATGCCTCGTGCTAGAATGGTGCTTGAGGAGAGTGAAGTCAGATGTTCTTCCACTTCCACTTGTGCAAAGTCTTCTACTAGTGCATAGCCTTTTGCACAATCAGAAACCTGAGAATGGCTGCAGAACCTTCTTAGCGAACACTGTGTAAAGCCTTACATCAGCTGGTTCTAGGGCACTTAGCATGCTTAAGATTTTGTAGACCTGTTCCCCATAAACATAAGACCACCCTCGCATAAAGTCCAGTCTCATATTTCCCACTACGGCACAGTAGATGCTGCTGGGAATCCCACAAGCAGGACACAAGAGCAACAGCGCCCTGCTTGCTGTTTTTCCCAAGCTGATACAGGAAGGAGCAACAGATGTTTAACATTAGTTAAAGTCCCTGCCAGCACTGCATGTAACACAGATCACTGCTGCCAAACATTAACATGGTGGGATGGCTTTAAAGTGGAATGCTTACCGTTGGTTTCTGAACTTTTTTCCAGTCATCCTGCAACACAAAAACAGTGATAAGCAACACAGTGTAGAATGCCCCAAAATACCAAAAGTTAGTTATACATGTAAAACTAGTACAGTAAATTTCACCCTGTTGATTAGTGAATATATGGATACACATACATTCTAAAAGCATTTCGCAACCTATCTTCTTTGTAGTATTTGCTGATAATTTTCAACATGCTTCCTTATCCAATTTTATTCTACCAAACTTATTTTGAGTTTGCCTCCAGAAAAGTTGCTCCACATTATCTCCACATGAGATAAACACTGCTGTAGCTTGATTAAATGCTCCCTGGTAGCACACGAGCTACTTTCAAGTCCTCCAGCATAACAGATCTCTTAGCATAACAGAACAGTTAAGTGTGGGTGGAAGACTTTTAAAAAAGCAAAGGAAACAAAATTATTAAAAATAAATCTTGCAGCAATGTTTTGATGCCAAGATCAGCTTTCTACAAAGCTTCTAATGCCTTTTAGACACAGGGGTGTTATGAAACAGGAGGAACTGTTTGGCTCTTTTGAAAAAGCGGACTTTGTAACTGCATCTTGATTCCAGTACTAAAGTCATGAAGGTACTTTTGCATGGAACACAGCAAGTATCAGTGCACTTTGAACACCCATTACAGTAGCTTATCACATGCTAAACAGAAGCAAATTTCTTCATTCTCTAGAATTTCTACCAGCTCCAGAAATATCAAACGCACCAGTCTAAACTTTAGTCTGGTAACTGCATGAAGGGGCTTGATTTAGAGACGTAACCTCAAAACACTATACCACTGTGTATCCTACTAAATATGATGAAAGGAAAGAATGCAGGAATTGCCATGCAGACATACCTGGCAGAAGTAGCTTGGCAACACTACTAATTCTCTGCACAAAATGCATAAATGATCCCGATCATTTCCTAGGTCCTCTGTTAAGTGTCTGAGGACTTGGGTAGAGTTTGTCCTTTACCCAACCAAAAGAGACAGCACCTTTGTGTGTGTGTGCGTGCATGCATGCATGCATATGAATACACACACACACACTGGCAAGTTCTCTGATGTGCAGAGAATTTTGGAAACTGAAGACTGTTTCAGTTAGTGCTAGAATTTAATTAACAGCCATCAGGATAAGTCCCGTGGTTAGCTACGGGAACTGCATTGGTGGGATCTTAGCAAAGAGTAATTGGTTCAAATATAACATTAAGTGTTGCTGAACAGTGTGTGTTCAGATCAGTCTCTTCTAAATCACAAGCTTGGTTTTAAACTTCTACTGCCACTGCCAATTTATTGCTGTTTTACTTATTTATTTATTTTGCTTCTTAACTGTTATTTATTTCTCACTTTCCCAGTCCATCCTGAACACAGGAACCAACTATTTTAAAACAAAAAACTTAAAACCTAAAAAATAGCTTAGAACTTGCAGAGAAGCACTAATAAACTATACACTGAAAAAAGTCATCAACTGATGGGAGGAGGTACTGATAACCTGCTTTACTGCACAAACATTTTTAATCCCAAATTACAAAGTTACAACTTGACACAGAACACTGCATCACAGCATCCAATTTGATATGTTCGTTAAGGTTTTAAAAATATGGAGAAATATACAGGTAAAAGAAAGCACACGTTCTGTACATTGGAAAGTGCACTTACTGGATGAAGTTCTCCTATAATGAATGTATCCGACAACGTCCTGGCATCTGTGGAATGGCCAACATCTTCAAAACTTTCTGTAGCATCTCCTCCCGCTTGCTCCCTTAGAACCTCTTCACCACCTGGGTGCTGTAAGAAAACAACATATGAATAAGTATCCATGAACTTTACAAAGTTTTTTAAAGCTTTCTGTCCCAATAGGTATCAGTACATCTTAAAGCTGTCAATTTCACAAATGGAACTGCGACAGATTGCATGCTCAACAAGGAATCTGGTAGTACCTTAAAAACTAACAAATGTATTATGGCATGAGTTTTCATGCATTGTCCACTTCATTAGATGCACAAAATGTGCATCTAATGAGCCACTGAAAATACACTTCTAAGCCAAACTGGCTGCCAATCACTATCAATGAATGGCCCTAAATTCTAGTATTAGATGCATAACAAGTGTGCATATGGTTCTTGTTTTTTGGAAAAGTTGAGCACACAGAAGAACACTATTTTGCCCAGCAACTACCATCAGTATTGTAGATATTGTAGACACAAAGATCTTGTAGACCCAAGGAAAATACCACTAGAATATATCTGTGCTTGTGATTAAAACAAAGTTCAATCATCCAGCTTTATACTGTCCTTCATAAAAATGTATTTTTAATTGTTGGTTGGTTTATGTCTTACAACTGCAATATTTGCAGCAGCTTCTGATCAAGTCCCCCAAAGATGTGTCTTGTTCCTTTGAAACACAGGTTGGGACTGGTTACATTGAAGCCTCACTTTCGCCCATATCAGTCTAATGGCACTTTAAGAAGAGTTTCCACAGCCCTACTGCCAGCAGCATGCTTGTCAGTAAAACCAAACCAATTAGGCTGGCAAGCCACCATATTTGTGTAACTCCATTCCAGTTGGGAACGGGCAGGCCCCAACTCTGCAGGTGCTTCTGTGGGAATTAAAACTGATTTGTAACTGCATTTTCATAATCCGAAGAATTTAAAAAAATCATGCTGCAGTTTCTGTAGTGCTACTCTGTCATTTTATGGTTTTATCAGGCTGTTATGTTTTAAATGTCTTAAAATTAACTTACCTAGTGATGGTTGTTGTTGATTGATTGTGCTGTGGTTGTGAATGTTTTGTGTGTGTTTGTGTGTACACACACACACACACACACACACACACACACACACACAAAGAGCCATGTGTAGGAGAAAGCTTTCCTAAAAGGCAGGGTTTAAAAAACACACCATTAAATAAATATGAACTCTCTTTCTCTCTGGCACTCCCACTGTGAAGTTTGACCCAGCCTCCCCCACTGGCAGTGGGCCTTCTGCCAGTGCAGAAGTCCAATCTGCCTGTGTTTAACTCATTCTTATTGCATAAAAGGGGATGAGTGAAGTTCTTAATCCACGTTATATGATCCTGTAAATGCTGCTCCACCTAAGTACTATAACATTCATTATATAAAAATAAAGATGTTTTTAACCCTGAGAGCACTTCATACGAGTCAGGCATTTGAAGCACTTGTTTAGCCAAGATCTTATTCCAGAATTAATTTCACACATAGCTAACACTGCAGCTCTTAAATCAAAGAGAAGTTGAAAACACTAACAAAACAAAACCACATTTCCTAGTCTTGTCATTTCAGGACTTCGAGAGGAATGGGAAGGAAAGCACATATGCAAGGCAGTATGTAGGCAAATATGTAGGCACATATGTAGGCAACTTTCTCAATTTCCCCATATCAAACCATTCAAAAGAAAACACTCCTGTCTAGAGATGCCCTGGCAACATTCTAAAAACACACGCGTAGGTACTATTTGTTGCCTAAAAGTGATAAACTTGTAAAAGTTTCTAAGTTTCTTTGCATAAAAAAAATAATTGGGTGAAGAAAGTGCACAGTGCTTATGCACAGTGACTAAGCAAAATGGGGCAAAAAGTTACACAAGTGTGTAGAGCAAAGATTACATGTGGCCGTCAATCCCCAAAAGGTTAAGGAAGTGCATGCTGGAGAGAGATTATGCAAGTCAAAGCGAACGTGCAAATATGAATGACAAAATCCTGCCCTTGAATCAGTACTGATAACTATCCAAGCAAAGGAGTAGAGCAAAGGTCTTGAACGACGCTGAAGCTGATTGATGTGAGATTTACAGAGCATTCAGCAAACTGAATCCAGAAAACAGGTTGGACAACAAAGCGTAACTTACACAACTTTTCAGAGATGATGAGCCCAAACTCCTATTAGTACATCTATACTGAAAAAAAGTTGAATAGCTGCAATGAAATGTGATTTCATGAAGTGATCCATTTTTTAATGGAGCATGAACTGAAGAGAGAAAGCTTCCTGTTCTGAATTGTAAGGCACAGAGCAATATTAAAAATACTGAAAAGGAGAAATATGATCAGATTTAAAACAGTTTTCCCTTTGACAGCACAAGACGCATTCACCTGGGTAATCTTTAGGTCAGTCCAGAAGTAAAGATGCAAAAATATACTGTGCTGTCAAATGCTACTGACTGGCCACTGTAAGAACAGAATGCCGGAATATGTGGCCCATGGGCCTGATCCAGTGGCCTCTTTATATGTTCTTCTGAACTGAGAGAAGATCTCAAAGTCACAGACCAAGACCCCAACATTCCTTAGTACAAAGAACTGTACTAAGGTTTGGACCTGTGTCTCCTTAGATGATTTGTACTGATAAAGATTATATATATTGTAGATAACCTGCGGAATAGCTACATATTTTCCATGGAGAAAAAGCAGTGAAGTAAAAGCAAAACAAAAGCAAAAACACCCCACCAGACTCTTGTACGTATGTGTAAATCTTTCCAGGTGTAGAAACGATGTTTTGGTTTCTTATCTCTTCAAAATATTCACATACCTGCTAGTCCTTGGAATTCAAAGTATTCACTAGATACACATGGAAAGATAAGAAACTTATTTCTGTTTGGATGATAAATGGCTTCTTTCAGCAATTAACACAAATGTGAGCTCTGTTCACTTCATTCCACACTAGACAATAGCACCACTGGAAGCAACAGTGGAAAAAGCAGATGAGACACTCCCTTGACACACAAATAACACATTCTCAAAAATACCACTATTCTACACATTTTAAACCCAAGTAGAAGCAGCCTCTAGGGCACAGGTAGCCAACTTGGTGCCCTCCAGCAGTTGTGGACTACAACTCTCTTTGGGCCCAGCCAGCATGGTCAATCATCAGGGATGAAGGGGGTTGTAGGCAACCTTTTGAAGGCCACAGGTTAGCCATCCTAATTCTTGTGGTTGCCTAATACAGATTATTCAAAAAGCAGCTGTGTACGTGGGACAATTGACAAATAAAAGATTGTAAAATATCTTAGTAAGTACCTTGGTTCTCAAACAGCTTAGTTGTCGAACAAATAGGTTCCCGAACACTGCAAACTGGAAGTAAGTGTTCTGGTTTGCGAACGTTTTTTCGGAAGCTGAAACATCCGACGCGGCTTCCGCTTGAGTGCAGGAAGCTCCTGCAGCCAATTGGAAGCTGCACCTTGGTTTTCGAACGGTTTCGGGAGTTGAATGGACTCGCAGAACGGATTAACGTCAAGAACCAAGGTACCACAGTATACAACTAAAATATCAAGGGTGTAAGTGTAACAAATAAACGAGTGACTTTGGCAAAGTCATGTTACTACACAAACAGTTTTTCCTTCTCTTTCTTTTTTCAAAGCATACTAGATACTCTTCTCCTAAAACATACAAACTACCTTTTAACGCATTAAACTTGTGAGGAGAGGGAAAAGGCTGATACATAGCTCTTAAAATCCTGGCTGCATACACACAAGTACCTTTTATGAGAGCCACAACTGCAAAAAAAAAATGCAATGATGGTGAACAAGTCTGCAAGCCAGCACTCATACTTTACAACACTGCTGTAGCAGCTGTTTTTAAATGTTAGATCTTAGCCTACAAGTTCATATGTCAGAGCAGAGATCACAGTTCCCTGCTCCTGTTGCCCAAAAGCAGAATAGTTCCCCAAAAGTTTTTCCATCAGCATAATAGACACCAGTTGACTTTCACAGGCTTTAATGACAACCTAATTTCTTTTTATTTGCTTTCTGTGTAAAATTTTCTGGGTTTATCCAAGTGTGCTAATGTACATCCAATGGGTTTACACTTCCCACAAGAATTGGGAGTGGTCTTGTAAGTCATACCCAGGTCAAAGACCAAATTTGTAAAGTGGGACCGCAGTAAAGTGGGTACCTTGAATAAATACAAAAAGACACATTAATAGGAGGAACCATGAAGCACTTGCACAGTTTGCAAGTCTTGACTGCAGCCTGCAGGGACTTCTAGAGTTGTTTGAGTATGAACTGAGAGCTGCCTTTCAAATGTAGCAACCAGCCGTGTGACATCAGGGTAATTTCAGTTTCATATAAACTTTGCTCAAGTTGAACCTGCCTGTCTCAGCTTGTTCACTTTCTTTGTGAAATATAAATATGTTCCTTACATCACAAATGAAGATCTTATGTTGCTGAAATACAGTGTAATGGGCTGTCTGAATCAGGTGGATTGGCCAAGGACCCAGGAAAAGGCTCCAGCGGGATGTGGAAACCTCTGCCAGATGCCGAAGAATCTGCTAGTGAGGAGTGGCGGGGGGGGGTGGCAGCTTCCTCAATCTTCTCATATCTTCTCCGTCCCCAAGCTGTGAATTCTGCCTCCCTCTCTGTCCCTGCCTCCTTTTCTAGCTTGACAGAGCCTCTCTGTGGTGCACTCACTCCAGAGCTGTCAGATACTGGGAGTGGCTCTATCTGCCCAGAGGGGGATGTTTCAGGAGTGCTGGCCACGTCTCAGGAGGCAGAGGCACCTTCCCCATCACCTAAGTAAAGGAGCAATCAAAAGAGAAGGGAACAAAGGGTTCCACCTACCAGGCATAGATAAAGACTGCAGAAACACTTACAGCCTTCAGAGGAGTCCACCCCATTCCTATATACAGGATAGCAAAGGGGTGCAACAGTGACAGTGGTGGATCAACTTCCAAAGCTTTGCCAGCAACAGTACCTACCTTTCTTGTACAGTGGTACCTCAGGTTAATTACTTAATTCGTTCCGGAGGTCGGTACTTAACCTGAAACTGTTCTTAACCTGAAGCACCACT